CCGGTTATCGTACCGTCTGCAGGACGTCTCTTTTTCCATTTGGCAATCTGGTCGAACCAGCAGCGAAATTCGAGGAGACATTAATCAGACGGCAGGAGCAAGAATTAAAGTTGATAAGGTTTAGAATACGGAGATTCACGATTGCTGCACTTGGTTATACTGGAGATCAGTGAGTGTGCACGTGCGACAGGGCGAGCCGTCCGCGCGGTTGGTAATGTAAACAAGGATATAATTCGAGTGCCTATATATGACTGCTATGAAAATAAAATAGAAATTGGCATTGACCATTTTGTATATTCACTTTGCAGCGCGTTTCTCGTTCGTGTAATCCGTTAAAATTTTCAGATTTAAAGCTTCGCTCGACGGGAGCTTTCATCTCCGCCCACCATCGCTGGCTAACACTCGAAAGCACTTGAGCACCTCGCGGCGGAAATCTCCTCGCGGCCACCACTGGATTTACATATTTAATTTCGCAATTATACGGCAGCCCGTGCCCGTGGCTACGTTTACACGCTCTTTCGCAAGATCACTGGGCTCACTAGTTCTTCTCGCGGTAGTAGGTACTTCCACGACTTCGTAGCGTCCAGTTCTTCTCTCTCCCCCCCGTCGGCCAATGGTAACTCACGATTCTCCATCACATCTCTCTCTCTCTCTCTCTCTCTCTCTCTCTCTCTCTCTCTCTCTCGCCTTCTCTCTCCACACGAACGACTCTTCTTGCCTTGGCTGTAGAGCGAAAACGTTCCTAGCAGTCGGTAGCGGATTTCTTTACGCAGTGTCGTGTACAACGGCGAGGATGAAAGGATTTCAGGCAAATCCGCAAGAGGAGAGCCGACCGCCCCCCAGGCTCGAGGAAGATTCATCAAGTTGTACCAGCTGAGCGTTAGTATTCTTGCGAGTGGTCCAATGAGTCTCCTTAAGATTTTGTGAACGTCTCTAGGGTACAGCGCAGCCTCTTTCCGTCTCCGTTACACTTGGTATCCTGTCGCAGGGTATCTTACTATCCGTTGGTGGGGCGTCCCGAGGAATCCCTGAAGAGCGACGATACACCACGTGGCAGCGATAACGCGAATGGCCGTACAGGTTGCAGGACGTCGATGAGCCAATAACGAGAACGGGGGTAACGATAACGATAACGCAATCACGACGGAACACGTTCTAACCAATGAAGTCGCCGTAATGTCCCCCAGGTGCAAAAGGTAGACGTCGCGCGTGCGGCCTGCTCCCCTTCGTTCACAGGGTCGTCACGTGGCGTAACGTTAACAAGCCACCCCGCACTGGGCTACAGGAACGTCGTCGTGGTCGGTAGTGAGATGACGCCATATTCATTTTTTCCCCGCTAACGAAACGAGACCGAGTAGAGATTCGTGGGTTTCGCACCGGTGATGATGTGCCCGGGATCGTGAATAAAAAAGGGAATGGCGGAGGGAGTGGGGACGGGGAGGAAAAGTCAAGAGAGAATGAGAGACGGAAAGACAAGGAAAATTGAATGTAATGAAAAAAGGAGAGAGATACGAGAGAGGGCACTGCCGTGGCTGTATCGCGAGAGAGCCTCGACGTGCGCGGGAGAAAAGACGCAAAATCATGAGTGTGCAGCACACGGTAGTGGATACGCGGTACTGTCGTCTGTATATAATCTCAACTCCGTAGGTACTCTGGATCCGCACTCCAGGGTGATGGCTGACTGTATGAGGTGGGGCGCCTCCACGTACGTGCCCATCTATGTGGCCCCTACGAGAGAGAGAGAGTCTGGCTCTCTCGCTTCGGCTGAAGAGGGAACGGCCGCGGTATGCAGGAGGGACCAATGAAAGAGGGACGGAGAGGCAGCGAGTGACTGAGAATGAGAGGAAGGAAAGGGAGGAGAGAGAGAGAGATGGGAGATCGGAAGAGTGGAAGAGAGATGGCGAAGAAGGGGCGACCACAGTGGGAACAAGTAGAATATAGAGGAGATCAGGCTATGCGGCTTTATGTAGGCGGCCCTGAAAATCACCAGATTTCACCATGAGTTCTCCCGTGTGTATGAAATCGTTTTGTAGTGGTCTCTGGTAGGTATAGTTTCATTGAGATATGTGTTACGTGTATAGGTATCAGGCACGAAAATGGGTATCGGCGTCATAGGCCAATTCTATGGGAATTTTTACTAGCGGTGCGTAATCCCACGAGGAACTCGATGCCACTTCGGTAGCAGTGGGAAAAGGGCATAGATGATACAATAGATAGAAGAAAACGCTTTAACGGATGGTGTCGATTAACCCGAACACAAAGACCCCTTTGATCGAGGAACGATTCGTACAACCCCTGCCTATCCCATTCATCGCTTGACTTTTTTTTTTTTTTCTTTATTGTTTCATTTTCCCTCGATTCCAACTCCTGTCCCTTCCACCTTTGTTCACAATCAATTTTCGATCAGACGGATAGCGAAACTAACGGGGTCAACTGGCGAAAAGGCCGGACGTCGCGAATGCCAAACGTTCGTTTCGAATGTGCGGTCCGTCGAGACTGGTCGAGGTGTCGAAGAGGCTCTTTTTTTCTTCTTTTGTCACTTTTAGGGGAAGATTGAACGAAATTGGATTCTTCGTTCGTGCCAACATGACGTGGACATGAAAAGCCCGGAACACACGCATGTGCTTTATTTTACAGAAATTTTTATCTCGAGTATCATCACAAAGTTGATACTTACTTCAACTGTGAATCCGGCTTATGGGTACTTTTCGTGTACTTCTTCCTGTTTCTGTTTATGCAAGTAAAACCAGGCGTAATTGCAATTATGAACGCAATAGACAATTATGACATAATGACCATTTTCTGTAGACACTGAATAGCACAGAACAGGTTAGGTTAGGATTTTCCTTTTGTACGAGCATACATAAAAAATGAAAGCTGAGCATTTTTTTTTAATGCAAAACGACAAAATAACGAGCCAAAGTCAAAAAATGCTGCCGTTCCAAAGTACGCGAGGTATTTTTATGCATAGAATAAAAATGCGCGCACATTTTTGTTTTAACTCTTATTTTTGACTTCCTTCATTCGCATGCTTTTGCTAGACCTTTTCTCTTACTTCTATCTCCACACTCATACACGATCCATGGCCTGTTTATTTATTCTACGTACTTTCGATTCCTTGAAATTCCTTATATCATATATTTAATGCTTGTAATAAACATTAAATGGAAACAGTATAGTAATATCGTGTTCAGGTATCCTAATAAACAATCTAAATGAGAATACAGAACATTATCATTTGCTCTTAGTATCCTTTCGCATGCTACCCTACTCTGACGACCCTCTTCGCCGTATCTATTATTGCTAACATTTTTTTTTTTCCACGTCTACTTCCGGGTGACTACTAATGAACGCAATTAGCTTTACCCCTCTGTTTAATTTCTAAAAGTTTTTAGAAAATTAAAAACATGCGTGTTTCCCTGCAAGATTGAATTCAAGTACTTCCTCCGGAAAGGCTTTGAATTTATCAAGTGCAACTATGGCACAAAGGCTCCCTTCTATTCATACAGGATGGAGAGTCCTTGTTAGATATCATTCGTACTATATCTAATATACATCATGAGTACTTCGTATATTATTATACTCTCAGGTCATGCATTACACGAATCTGTTGGTATACCATGTTTTTTTAAAGAAATTCTGTCTGAAATAAAGAAAATATTCTAACCAGACGTGTTATGTGTTGGAAACAGACTTTAATATAGGAAACAATCGTATTTCAAAATTGCGATCATTTTGTACAGTATATCATTCAGACTTTTAAGTCTCGATGTACACGTATATGTATATATAAGTTTAGTCGTAAAAGATGATCGACATTTACGTGACTGCAATTTGATATATAAACAGTAATGTAATTTCAAACGATACTTTTAAGTGTTCACACTGCACTGCTAACCCCATCCTATATTGGTTACATTGCGCGAAAGCGTCGCTCGAGTTTTCCAAACTTCTCCACAGTATAGGATTATACAGTATAGGACATTTCGCGCATATATCGGAAAATCATTCATTTCAAGGGACATTCAATTTAAGCCTCGTATTTCATTTGGGTCTCAAAACATCCAAAATCGCTTTTCTCTTGGGCTCGTGAAAAATGTTAATCGCTCGATTAATTTATTGCTCTCTTTTTTTTTTTTTTTTTTTCACGTGAAAAACTTTGTAAGGGGAGAATTTTTATGGTTGCACGTCACGTTCCTCGTAAACAGTCATATGGGGTAATGATGAAAGCACGATCACGTGCTGTAAATTTTATCACACAATAATGACGTGTCTAATCGGAGGATTAAAAAGACACAACTTTGTAAACGACAGCTTTTCTGACTTTGTTATTGATGCTTGTACTCTTTGTACTGTTTATTGCTTATAATTCGTTGTGTAATTGGCACATATATTATACAACTAGTAATAATTATTTATATAAAGTCGTGTAAAATTGAACATGAATGTGTGTATTCACAAAGAAAATTCAGACTGCCTAATTTCTTAAAAATCCTTCGGTAACCTGTCATTTCACTAGCATACGTATGTAGGTCAATGGATTATTTCAACCGTGAAATAGTTGTAGTAATAATTCCGCAATTCCTACTAGTGTGATTTCTCTTGAAATTCACAGTACGCTGCAGATGTACCAAGAATCCGTAGTTTATAAATATCTTTCATCCGGGATGAAAATGGCACATAATTATCTGCATTTGCGTTACATCATAGAAACCCTTTCCAATTGTCAACAGGAAGTTACTATTGTTGTCTAATTATCCACTATGTTAGGGTGCATAGTGGTATGTAATATATTGATATAAACAGGATGCTTGAAATAAGCTGAATATCAGATCGCGCAATACGTGTTTCATAAGGTATCCAGCGGGTCTTAAGGAAAGAAAAGAGATACAACGATAAATCCAAAAACGCGAAATAACAAATATCGATTGTCTAAAATTTGTTTAACGTTGAGAACTTAATTTGAAATCGTAATGAAAAATCGAATTTTCTTTACTCACGTGATCGTCCAGGAAGATCGTATTAGATAGGAGAGTCATATTACGTACCTGCAAGAAAAAAGAAGTCAAATATAAATAAAATGCATTATACCACGTTGGACATGGCTGAGTAAGGTTTTGAAAAATACCAAGGAAAATGGTAACGCCTCTACTTTATATTACCTCCCTGTCGAGAATTTGTCGAGAATTTAACGTCGAGTGACGTCATTTCAAAATGGCAAATTAAGTAACTAAAGCGGCAACGGCGCGTATTACGGACCAACTTTATTTTCAGTTAGCGTAAACTGCTTTGCTTTTTTCGGAGCTTGCAAATTACCAGCGCGGAGGCACTTGTGGTCTCTACTGCGGATCCGCAGCTTTACTCACGTACAATTTTTGCTTTTTCCTTTGCCTCACCTTTATTCCTTCCTGTCGGTTCTTTTTCTTTTTTCTTTCTTTCTTTTTTATTTATGTCCTGTAGCGGGCTTAAGTGCGGCACTAAGCCAAAAAGTAGATCGATACTCGGTCGGCGCAGCTCGGCTAGTTACTACGGGATTTCGGAAAGCAGTAGCTAATTGAAGTAACAAGGGTTCTTAGCCAGATTACTTATTTTCACTCGTACAGATAAGGCACAGCCATCCTTCACTGTAGTAACGGATAAAAATACCTCTTTACAGAAGTCCACACCGTATTAGATGAACCGATAAAGCATCGTCCTCGTTGAATACAGGTAATTCCTATACCACAAACGCAATTATCTTACTTTTTCATATTGGCATGATGATCTTTTAATTATACATTTTAATAAGGATTTCTTTTTTTTCTTTCTGGAGCTTCGTTAAGTCTGGACCCAAGACAAGATCTTTTGGGATTGAATACAATGCTTGACTTTTTTAATAGGCTTTGTCTGGATTACCGAACAGAGCGAGGAAGTGACAGAAAGAGAAATAGAGCGAGAGAGAATTATCTTGGTTCTTAGAATATATATATATACTATATAATACTATGGCAATGGTTGACAATAGCAATACAATGGTACAGTGAAACGAATATAGGTCAACGATGAAAAATCACGAATAAGGTAAATTCAGTGAGAATAAATATACAGTGAAATGCTAACAAGGTTCGGTGAACAGACGAATATAATTACAACGTATTAATTACAGCAATAACGAATACTTTGCGAATAGCGTATTAATCTGATTGGAATGCAGAGTTTCACAGTATGCGTGCAGTAAAGTCGTATCGATATTCGTGACCTATAACCCGCATTATTTATTGAATAGGTCGGGTATGAATTCATTTTCCGGTGGAGATACATCTCCTGAAAAATAAAATAGGTAACGTTAACGAAGGGTCTTTTAGTACGAAGAGAGGTTCTTCCGTCTCTCTTGCTCCACGTCTCGTCCCACTTTCTCTTTCTCTCTCATCTCATCGCTCTACCTCCAGTTCGCACTCGTCCCGTCTCTCTTCCAGATCCTCCTGAACGTTCGCAGCAATCTTCAAATTATTACTATACAAACGAAACGACGCGCCATAGCAGAGATATCTGAATTCCAAGTGGAAGCTTCGTTACTTCCGTAGTTAAGCCGACAGTAGAGGAAAACAATTTCGGTTTTCCGTCGTACAATGCGGTTTTCTCTAACTTTTAGTACTTTTCTTCGTTCACTGTAAATGTATATACATATATGTTCGCAATGCTGCGCTATGTCACAGTCAGCATCGTCAGTAACTATACGTATCTCGTGTTGTGTAAGGTAAGGTTTTCTTTAGCCGGGGACAAATGTCGATAGTGTCGTAAGAAATGCACTGTATGCACTCCATTTATGACTATAGGAGGGACTCAGCCAACCGAGAGATTTTTTAACCACTCGCAGAATCCGATTCTCAAGTATCCTGAAGATATCGGCTCGTTATATCGCAGCATCCCACGGTCACTGGTTTATACAGTTTTCTCATTTCGCTGAAGCCCCAGGTGTCGTTCTTACGTATTAAAAAGAGTCTGCAGGACTTCCACGTCGTTAATTAAGCTCAAGAAGTATGAAAAATGGTGTCGTCGATTTTATAAACAATCTGAACGCCAGTGTGGTTGTTTCTTAGGGGATATAGTTGAGCGCGATTCGAAACTATGCGACTCGTATACCACTGGTGTTGGTGACTTCAAAGGCATGATGACGGTAGCACCGTGAGAAAAGGGATGTAATGAGCGATGGGGGGGGGATGGGGGTGGGGGAAGAGGGAGAAAATTTAAAAGAAAGACGTTCAGTCAGCATTTCGTGGAATTAAGCGACATCTCTAAGCTTTGTCCCTTTAAAGCGTTCGACAGATTTCTGCTTGCGATGAACAAGGTATACACCTTTTCTTTCCCCTTTATCGCTATCATCTCGAAATCCTTTGTCAGGATTATTTTTTTCTTTTATCTGTTTCAAGAGCAAAGTCAACGTAAGACCGAAACCAGGCTATACGGGTTTCCGTATGCGTTATGCTTTTGCGAAAATTTATAACCCTCCAGACTCAAGCAAACGAGGCCTGGGGCCAAAGCACGCACTACGTACTTTATCTTTTGCGGAGGGACGAAAAAAAAAAAGACATCGCTGTTACTATCGGGTCTGTATTTCTACTTTTGCCTGAATTTCACTACGGCTGTACGAACGTTTGACTATTTTTCATTTGGACGGATTCTTATCGCTATCGTATACTTTTGTAGAAACGGCATACGAACTCTGGCAAGTATGAAAATTTTTCTGCCGGCCTGCCATCTCGTGAGTTTGCTATCCCCTGGGATCTGGTCTGCGGTAAACTACCACGTACACCCCGTATATATCTCGTGTTGTATCTATGTTTGAAAATGGTGAATAGTCGGCGGCTGGAAAGTTTGACTGTACATTTTTATAAGAAACGAAAATGAATCTTCAGGATCTTAGGCCGTTGTAGTTCTTGGTTTAAACAAAGGTGTCTCTTCTTGGGTTAATGCTATATCTATTCGGCATATAAGAGACGTCAGGAAAGATAAATGAGTGTCTGGTTTTGCCCGAGATAATAAAGCCTCTGAGTACTCTATTGGCTTGTTACCCGTACTTGTTTAATGGACTGTACATCTCTTAAGTGATAAGGCATAACCAGAAGGGTCACGTAATAAATTGTACTTATTAATTTAAAGAGTCCCTGACTATAGCATTTACAATAATCGTTAAAAGTCAATGTCTTTCATTGGTCCTCGTTGCATGTCAAAAATAATATGCACAGGTCAAATGGCTATAAACCTATGGTGTTTAAGACTAATAATAAGACAGCTAAGAGATCAGCATCAATTGCGAATAACGTGAAGTGAACGAATCGTAGCCGAGAATATGAAATTTATTTTTTTTTACTTCGCTCTGATAGCTATGGGTATTCTGTACTTTGGCAAAGTAAACTCAGAGGAGCGTAAGTTACTTTTCTTTTTTCATTTAGTTATATTTTCCATAATTAATTAACAATTCAGTGAGAAAGGACTCTGCAGTCTAGGGAAGGGCTCGTTTGAGTAGACTGTCAAGAAAATCCACAAATAAATAGTGGATCGGCCAATCAACAGTTGGCTAGTATTCAGGATACAGAATTGCATCATTTTAGTCCAACAGTTGGTAGCAAATGTGTTGTGTAGGAAATAGAAATAAAATTGAGAATGCAGGTATAAAGGGTCGGAAAAATTCTACTATTCAATTTCACATTGCTTCGCTAAGTGTACAGGATCAATGATGCTCAGATGAAAAAGAGTTGGATGACGTAATTCTTACTAGGAATTCACTCGATGCACTCGGGATATACTAGGAATCAATTATTCAGCAGAACCTGTCATCCGGTTTCTGCAATTGTCAAGTATATGTATATAAGTATATAATATTTTTTTTTATTTCTTGATTTCATGCTCCAATTCTCAGTGCACGGATTGCAATTGATGCTGGAAATAATAAAGCCTATAATTATTCGCATTCAAGTTACCTCGTCATCGTTTTTTTTTCTAATTTACAACAGGAAGCTATAACAGTTGTCTAGTTGTCTTTCATGGTATTATTGTATATTATATATTACATATAATATGCTGATATGAACAGGATGTTTGAAATGAGTTGATAATGAAATTACATGTTACATGACTGACAACGCATTCGCTTCCTCTTCGGACAGGAGTAATTGAAAAAGTAAAACGAAAAGTTGACAATTGTTCGGTTAAATTGTTATTCGCTTTCTGGAGTTCGTTAACACTGAAAACGAAATTTAATACTACAATCTTACGAGTACGATTGTTCTTTGCAGTTGGTTACAATACTTTTCCATGAAAAGCCTTGATCGTTATTTCCTGATTAGGATTTACTTATAACTATTTTTAGGACATTTTTATCTTGCTGCTTTGTTAATAAAAAAGTATTAGCTCGTAAAGTTCAAAAATATTTTTCCTTCTACTTTCTAACATAGACCTTTTTTTTCCAGCGCGCCCCTGCACAAGCTCCCAAGACACAAGGTAAGGTTTCGTATTATTTTTAGTCATTTTTGAAATCACTTAACTCATAATTACAAACAGCATTAAACTAAAAAAAAAAAAAAAAAAAAAAA